GTAGAAAATTATTGAACTAAATGAACTAAAACATTTCAAATATAAACTACAACTGTACAGTAGTTGTGCTGTAATATTTGGATTGTTTCATTAATATCGTTTTGTTTTTATTTTATACTCAAAATTAAATTAGATTTTTTTTTGCGTCTTAAAACGTATCGAAATCGAATCGATATCGTGACCCCGTGTCCCGTATCGACATATGTATTGAATTAATACGGGCAAAAACAGGCATTCTGAGTGTGAGCGAGGTCGCCTCTCCACAGATCTGACCTGTAACTTGGTCTGGTTTGGTCTTGGTGAAGATAGAAAGGTTTAAGGCAAGGCAAGGCAAGTTTATTTGTATAGCACAATTCGTACACAAAGTAATTCAAAGTGCTTTACAGAATAAGAAATACATTAAAATCATAATAAAAACAAATCAAAACATAAATAATCATGAAGATTAAAATTAAAAAAGAGAGACATAAATTGGAGTGAAGAGTGCGGAATGAAAACCTTTCAGTTATTTGCACAGTTAAACAGAAATGTTTTGAGTCTGGATTTAAACAGCGTCACAGAAGAGTCTGTCTCACATGTTCAGACTGTTCCAGGTTTTAGCTGCATGAACCTGAAACTCTGACTCCCCTTGTTTAGTCGTGACTCTGGGCACCAGCAGGAGGCTGGTCCCTGAGGTCCTCAGAGTGTGAGATGTTCATATGACACTAACATGTCACAGATGGACTTTGGTGCTTGGCCATGGAGACACTTGTACACAAACAGAGCTGTTTTAAAGTCTATTCTCTGAGGCACAGGAGCCAGAGCAGAGACCTGAGCACAGGACTTATGTGCTTGTACTTCCTAGTTCGAGTCAGGACCCGAGCTGCAGCGTTCTGGATGTTCTGCAGCGTCTCACAGCTCGTTTGGAGAGACCAGTGAGCAGAACATTACAGTATCTAACCTACTGGAGACAAATGCATGGATAAGTTTCTCCAAGTCTGCTTTAGACAGTAAACCTTTGATTTTTGCTATGTTTTTTAGATGGTAAAAGGCTGCAGATGTTATTGATTTTATGTGACTGTTAAAGTTCAAGTCTGAGTCCATTATTACCCCTAGATTTCTTGCCTGATTTGAAGGTTTTAGAGAGAGAGACTGGAGGTGACTGCTGACACTGTCCCTTTGTTTTTGTGGACCAAACACTATGACTTCAGTCTTGTCAGAGTTTAGCTGGAGAAAGTTGTTTTGCATCCACACACTGATCTGTTGGATACAATGACCAAGTGAGTCCACTGGTCCATAGTCTCCTGCTGCCAGAGAGACGTAGATCTGAGTGTCGTCTGCATAATTGTGGTAGGACACGTTATTGCTGCTTATTAACTGGCCTAATGGCAGCATGTAGAGATTGAACAACAGGGGGCCCAGGATTGACCCCTGAGGCACCCCACAGGTCAGGGCCATGTGATCTGAGACACAGTTTCCAATTTCAACAAAATACTTCCTGTCTTCTAGATAGGACTTGAACCAGTTTAGTACAGTACCAGAGATGCCCACCCAGTCCTCTAGTCTCTGTAAAGAGGATCCCATGATCGACAGTGTCAAAAGCAGCACTCAGATCTAACAGGATCAAGACTGAGACTTTGCCTGCATCAGTGTTCAGGCGGATGTCATTTGTCACCTTGATAAGAGCAGTCTCAGTGCTGTGGTGGGCTCTAAAACCTGACTGGAAAACATCAAAGGAGTTGTTCATTTGGAGAAAGTTCGTAAGCTGTTGGTAAACAGCTTTTTCAAGGACTTTGCCAAAAAATGGCAGATTTGAGATGGGTTGGAAATTGTTCAGTACTGTGGCATCAAGACTGCTCTTCTTTAGGAGAGGCTTAATGACCGCAGTTTTCAACGCATTTGGGAATGTTCCAGATTGAAGTGACATGTTAACTATGTGAGTGAGTGGTGAAAGTAAACTGTTGAGGACAGACTTTAGAAATCTAGTGGGTAACATGTCCAGGCAGCAAGTAGATGAACTCAGACTGGTAACGATCTCTAAAACAGTTTTGTGAGTTACAGGTGCAAAGTGATTCAGCTCTAAGTGTCTCTGTGGCTGCATGCTTGTTATTTGTGTTGTGGAATTGATGGCATTTTTGATGCCCTGAAATTTGTCATTAAAGAAAACTGCAAACTCATTACATTTAGATGTGGAAATTAGTTCTAGTGGCAGTGGAGCTGGAGGGTTTGTTAATCTGTTCACTGTTGCAAACAGGACACGAGAGTTGTTACTGCAATTACCAATAATGTCCGAAAAATACTTCTCTCTTGTTTTACTCAAAGTGTAGTTGTACATATGCATTGTTCCTCTGTAAATCTCATAATGAACCTGGAGGTTTGACTTGCGCCATTTCCGCTCAGCCTTCCGGCACTGCCTTTTCTGTGCTCTGACTGAGTCATCATTCCTCCACGGAGCTTTTTGCCTCTTTAACCACTTTAACCTTTATCGGAGCGATGGCATCCAGAACATTCAAAACACTCAAAGTCACAGAGTTCAACACATCATCAACATTAGAACATGAGGCAATTTCAAAATGTATCATTTCCATGAACAGTGCACCTGTGTTATCATTTATGTGTCTCCTTCGAACAACTGTAGGAGCAGCCGGTGGTTTGGGAATAACAGACAGGTCAAAGAAGACACAGAAATGATCAGACAGAGCAACATCAACCACATTGACATTTGAAATATTTACACCCTTTGTAATGAGCAGGTCCAGAGTGTGCCCTCTGTTGTGAGTGGGCTCACTGACATGCTGAGTCAGACCAAAAGTTTCAAGGACAACACTAAGCTCTTTGGCATTTTTGTCACACACATTAAAAAATCACCTGTAATGACTAAACCATCAAAGTCTGTGCAAACAACTGAAAGCATCTCAGTAAAATCATCAATAAAACTTTGACAGTGCTGAGGAGGTTTGTATATGACTATGTAGAGTCTGGACGGTGATTGTTTTAGCTCCATTTTGAAGGAAACATACTCAAATGATGAAAACACCCCAAATGACAACCTGTGTGTAACCAAATGATCTCTAAAAAATGCACACACTCCTCCACCCTTTTTATTTGCTCGTGTTTCAGATTCAAATTTGAAGTTGGGAGGGGTTGATTCCACTAGCACTGCATGACCTGTGTTTTTGTCAAGCCATGTTTCAGTTAAAAACATAAAGTCAAGATTAAAAGAAGAAATAAAATCATGAATTAGAAATGATTTGTTACATAAAGATCTGACATTGAGCACAGCAAGTTTCTGATTAGTTTCAGTAGGACTGGGTGTTATCTTCTTACAGGGAACGTGAACTAAATTTCTCTGATTAGACAGTCTAACTGTCCTTCTTTTAATCCATCTACGTGTTGTAACTGGAGATATAGCTCCATCGCAGGGCCCCAGCCTGATATTACCTTTATCATGACTGTATGTCCTGGGACAGCAGAGGCCCTGTGCGTCCTAGCTCTTGGTGATAACAGCTCTGGGGAAAGGCGGGGGAGGGCGAGCAGGGGAGAGTTTGGGTGAGTGACCAGGTGAGGGACCAGGTGAGGGCCGAGGAGGTGGAATACGGGGAGGTTTGGGTGAGGGACCAGGTAAGGACCGAGGAGGTGGAGTAGGGGGAGGTTTGGGTGAGGGACCAGGTAAGGACCGAGGAGGTGGAGTAGGGGGAGGTTTGGGTGAGGGGAGAGCTGAGAGAGTCTCTGGTGGTGAAACAGGCACAGTTTTTGTATGGGGGAGAGTTCAACATAGTTGATGTCAGAACCCTTGACCGTGCTATGTTAGGTGTGATTCCCGATCTGATGAGGCTTTCTAGATGGTTGGGCAGTGCCATGGGTGAAGGGTGAAGAGTCTGTTGATGGAGTAGATGTAGCAAGGGGGACTCCAGGCTGGTCTGTGGGCAGCGGAGGTGATGGGTGTGCTGGTGGCGCTGGGGGAGGTGGTGGTGGTGTTGCTGACTCATTTAATGCTGTACTGTGAAACATTCCAGACAAAGCAACAACATCTCCATGGAGAAAAGTATTGCTCCAGTTTAGACCCAGTTTAGTCCCAGTTTAGCCCAGTCCCAGTTTAGTCCCAGTTTAGACCCAGTTTAGACCCAGTTTAGACCCAGTTTAGACCCAGTTTAGACCCAGTTTAGACCCAGTTTAGACCCAGTTTAGACCCAGTTTAGTCCCAGTTTAGACCCAGTTTAGACCCAGTTTAGACCCAGTTTAGTCCCAGTTTAGACCCAGTTTAGTCCAGTTTAGACCAGTTTAGACCCAGTTTAGACCCAGTTTAGTCCCAGTTTAGACCCAGTTTAGACCCAGTTTAGTCCCAGTTTAGGCCAGTTTAGTCCAGTTTAGACCCAGTTTAGACCCAGTTTAGTCCCAGTTTAGACCCAGTTTAGACCCAGTTTAGTCCCAGTTTAGACCCAGTTTAGTCCCAGTTTAGTCCCAGTTTAGACCCAGTTTAGACCCAGTTTAGACCCAGTCCCAGTTTAGTCCCATATTAGACCCAGTTTAGACCCAGTTTAGACCCAGTTTAGACCCAGTTTAGACCCAGGTTAGACCCAGGTTAGACCCAGTTTAGACCCAGTTTAGTCCCAGTTTAGACCCAGTTTAGACCCAGTCCCAGTTTAGTCCCAGTTTAATCCCAATTTAATCCCAATTTAATCCCAGTTTAGACCCAGTTTAGACCCAGTCCAAATTTAGTCCCAGTTTAATCCCAATTTACTCCCAGTTTAGTCCCAGTTTAGTCCCAGTTTAGTGAAGTTCTTGTGGACTGTTCCAGGTCCTGGTTGGGTCCTGGTTGGGTCCTGGTTGGGTCCAGGGTTGGTTCTTGTCTATTACTTGCTTAATCCTGATTCAGTCCTGGTTTAGTCTTTGTTTAATCCGTGTTTAGACCTGATTGAGACCTGACTGAGACCTGATTGAGACCTGGTTTAAGACCTGGTTTAAGACCTCGATGAAGAAAAGGAAACCGGTGTTATTACGGTGAGAACAGTTCCTCTTACCGAGTTTGGGGAAGACGATGAGGTACTCTGCGTTGCACTGAGGACAGGCCACTCGGGCGGTGCTGTTTCCTCTCTGCTTCTCGTCCACCCACCTCTGCAGACACGACTGGTGCACCCATTTGGTGGACCCCCGGCAGCGGCACGGGCGCACCCACTCCGCCGTCCGGTCGTCCTCGTCGGTGGCGAAGCACACCCAGCAACTTCTACAACCACAGACAGACAGAGAAACGTCAGAGGTCAGAAAGAACGTGAAAAAAATAAGACGATAGATTATGATCCTTGACGGTACAAAGAAGCGGACTAAGGGAGTGTAATGTCAACCACAGTGTTCAGCTCCAGACAAGTGAAGCTCATCAAGGCCAGCAGATACATGGGTAAATTTGGGTAAAAGAAACTCAGATTTGTCAGTTGGACAAACATTTATTTAATCATTTTTTTTCCAAACTAAAGACCATATTTTCCAGGCTATTAGACGCGCTCTTAAGCCTCTAACCCTACCAAAAAACAACGCGCGCCGCACAATCCAGAGCGCCCCATACACGAATCCACTCAGGTGTCCCAGCACGACTTCAGTAAACTACAAAGCCGCAAACACACACGGAGCAGACAGCGACCGCACGGCGAAAAACACCCACAGACACACTCATCACTCCACGCCGACGAGGAACGGAACAGAGGAACGAACTGAAAAAGCGAGCGCAATGTGCCGCTTCTAAACACGACTGAACAACTGAGTCACTGCAAACACGCCGACAATCCGTTGGTCCCAGACAGCACCTCCCTACACGCCACAACTGAACAAAGCCCAGAGTCACCGTGAACGAACAAACAAACAAAACCACTCACCCATCACACTGTTGGGTTTCCTTTAAAGTCCAGTGCGGTTAATTCGTGAAAAAAAATTGAAAATAGACCATTTAATGACAGTGCACCTTATAATCCAGAGCGACTAATAGCCCGGAAAATATGGTAAACGTTTCTCCGGTCGACAATTTGAGTTTCTACTTTGCCCTGGATTCTACCTGGACGACTGACCACTTTTACGCACATTGGAGCAGACTTCCATATTAGGAAAAGAAACTGTTTTATAAATATAACAAAACTAAGTCTAACAGCGAAATAAAAACACCAAAATCACGTAGAGTGGGTTAATACAAATATTTTAAGGCCAAAATGAGCCAGACAGCGGCATTTACAGACAGAGGGGCGACGTTTCTCAACACAAAGTGAATTGGGGCCAAAGTCAATGAAGCCAGAAGCCAATCAGAACCCTCAGACGTTGAGCGGAATTAAATAAATGGTAAATGGTCACATTTTTCTATAGCTTTACCAACTGAGCTACTGCCGCCCCCATAGTAAATATGTGAAATAGGGATGGGCATGATTAATCGATTAATCGATAATTGATCATTAAGAATTTCATCGATTACGTTAATTTTAATCGACAAACCGAATGTAGGTTGCTGTGTGTAGCCTGACCAAACAGGTCTGTACATGTAGCTCTCTGCATCAGAAGGAGCGAACAAACAGAAACATTCGGTCAGTCTTCAACGCAAATGTGTATTTAACGATGATTTGTACAAGAAATTCCAGGCTTTCCGTTGTGAGTCCATGTGCACAGTGAACAAAGCAGCACATATGTTTCTGTGTCCAGTGGGAAAAAGTTTTACCAGGTGAGAGTCGCGCAATATCAATGACGAGTCCCCGCCTCCCTCCCCCCGTACGCTGTCCTGGTTTTGACAAACGCAAATCTGGTCACACTAACCTGTATTCACCTGAGTCATGTCTTTTAATCCGACAGAAATTGAACCACATCAGCGACACAAGAGCTGTAGTTTTATCTTCGCTTAGTTTATGCAAATTAGCGATGCGGTTTTAAGTTTCGTTTTTGTGAAAGTTGCGCAAAACTGAATTAAACACATTATAATGTCAAACGGGCTGATGTGGCTCTAGAGTCGTTACGGTTTATATGTCGTAAAGTTGAATTTATTTATGCAAATTAGTAGTGCAGATAGTAATAACAGTGATGATCATTTTAATATAAAAACGTTAATGATTAGTCGATAATCGATCGTTAATTCTTCCGACGATCGATTAAGAAAATTTCATCGAATGCCCGTCCCTAATGTGAAATAAAGACGATTTAACGCGTTTTCCATGTAAACCGCAATTCAGACTTATTATTTCCATGTAAACTCGAAGGACAATATTTGAATTCTGAACAATTAAATCAGAATTATAAAAACATCCTGTAAACGTGACCATTAACGCACTACAAAAGTCGTACAGGACAAAGGCAGGATACAGGACACAGTGTATAATCTCATTCTGTAGGGACGCTCTTTTCAAGCGGAGAATACAAGGTCGTGTTTCAGATCATTTTCCTGAGACTAGCTTCTGTTTCGTTCAATATTTTCCTTTTTATAGTTCACTACAAACACGGTCTGTTGGGTGTAATGCAATCTGAACCAGGACGAGGTCAACTTTGCTTATTATTAAAGAGGGAGTATTACATTTCTGTGAGGCATTATAAGATCACCGTGTTACCTTTACTGTTTTAAAAATGCTACATTCTCAGCAAACAACGCATTAACGTGTTTTAGAAGTTTCTGACGCTCTGAGTTTCCCCTCTCTTTGCTCCTCGTGTTAAGTCGCTCCCCCTTCAGAGCGCTATCACAACACAATCTAATAAAATTACTACATGATACTGCACATCTTAGACTAAACTTAAACAAATTGTACTGATCCACAAGGGAAATGATCTGGACACAGGAGCTCACACATCACAATATAATATAATAAAGAGTAAAAAATATACGTGGTTAATAATAAATTCTAAATAAGTAGCAAAAAAGAGCAAGAGACAGGTGTCAAATAAGACATACCGTATTTTTTGGACTATAAGTCGCACTTTTTTTCATGGTTTGGATGGTCCTGCATCTTATATTCCGGTGCGACTTATATGTTAAAATGTTCACAGTGAAATGTGGAGAGGTTCTAGTCTTGTGTGTGAGTATCTGCTGCTCCTGTTCCTCCTGTACCACTGTCACTTGGCTCTACTGCGCATGTCTCCTGCAGAAAGAGCCTCTGTTCCTGTCTGTATCATGTCAGTCGATCGCACCATTACTTCTGTAACACTGAACAATTTAACATCTAAACAGACTTACAAAGTCGACTGAGAAGACTGAACACAAATGAGCCCAAAAAGACAATCACATTTTGCAGATTACAAACTGCAAGAAGCGAAATATACAGCAGAAAACGGTAATCGAGCAGCAGAAAGAAAGTTTGGAGTGAGCGAGAAACTTGTGACACCGGGAGGATGCACCATGAAACTTTCCTGAAGTCACGGGATGGATGGACAAAGTCTAGACTTCAGTGACACCGAAAACATCCTGTCAGGATTTAGAATCATTGTTATCATTGTTAGTTATGAGTGTACAAACTATTATTTATGTGTTTGCCACTTTTATATTGTTCATGGTTTGGGTGTTTCCTGCGACTTATTCTCCAGTGCGACTTATATATAAAAATTTTCACACTGAAGCTGCGAGAGGTTCTAGTCTTGTGTGTGAGTATCTGCTGCTCCTGTTCCTCCTGTACCACTGTGACTTGGCTCTACTGGGCATGTCTCCTGCAGAAAGAGCGGATGTCCTGCTGCAAGTAGTGAAATATGCAGTTGAAAACAGAAATTGAGCAGCAGAAAGAAAGTTTGGAGTGAGTGAGAAACTTGTGAGGGACTGACGGAAAGTGGGGATGGAGAACACAGCTTCACGGCAACCGGGAGGATGCACCATGAAACTTTCCTGGAAGTCACTGGATGGATGGACAAAGCCTGAACTTCAGTGACACTGAAACCATCCTGTCGGGATTCAGAAAGGCCCGAATAATTCTAACTGGAACTGATGCTCAGTCTCGTGACTTGTTCTGTTTTGCAGTTTATGCTCTAGTTATCTGAGTAACTTAATATGTTACAGTCTGTTGTCTGTTGTTCTCTGTTCTATTGTTTTTACTTGAACTTGACTTTCAAGATGAAATGTCGGTTTCCCCCAAAAAGTGCGACTTGTAGTCTGATGCAACTTATGTTTTTTAATTCATTGCGCATTTTTTGGCTGGTGCGACTTATACTCCGGAGCGATTTATAGTCTGAAAAATACGGTAATTATATAAATGCATTTGTACAAGTCAAAACTAAATCTCATCAGGTTTGTCACATTGTTTGTTGTGTACAATTTTGTATCATGTTTTTGAATACAGTACTACCAGATGCGCGCGACCTGAATATAAGCCGCATCAAGTACATTTTAAAAGAAAGAAAAAACTGTACATATATAGGCCGCACTTGTCTATAAGCCACAAGTGTCCACGTCTTCCAGAACGTTTTCAGGTTCGGGCCGTTCGCTTTTATCGCCTCTGAAAGCTTTTGTCGACTTTTTGCATAGAGTCAGTTGATTTCAAGTCCGGAAATGACAGTATTTCTGGAGAATTGTAGTGTGGGAGCATGGGTCTTGTACAGAATTTTACAGCTAACCGTAAGGAGGATTGGAATAGGCCCCGGGAGAGATCGGTAAACTGCTCAAACATGCATGGATGACATTTTAAACCTCTTTGGGCATGTTTTTTTTTAAGTGTGATCATTGTTATAACCTGATAGAAAGCTCAAAAAAATGGCAAAATACTCACTCTTTAATGATTTTCGTGAGGGAACAATATCACCACTGTAAAAAGCTTGAAGACATGGCGTTATAAAACTAAAATGAACCAACTATTACAAACTATTTAACTATTTATAACTAGACTAGAGACTTGTTTTAGCCTGTGCACGTTCCAGTGGCTCCGCTCCACCTGTGCTCATGAGCGTCGTGACATTTGAGCGTCATTTACATAATTACGGCGCGTCTCCACGAGGGGGTATTTCAGGAGATGGATGTGGAGACTTTATACAGTCGTTCAGAACAGAGCTGGAGGACAGGTGAGAATTCTTTTGGTAGAATTTGCCGTTGAGCTGTCAGAGTGCAGATTTGTTGACCTGGTTTTTGGCTCATGTCTCGGTAATTACTGAGACTATCCGCGTGAAACAAAAACTGTCAGCGTCAATGTACAAAAGTGATTTTTTAATTTTTTCACATTAGTTTCAGAAAGTGGTGCTATTATTCAACCCCAAAGACGTGATTGTCAGCTGAGAAGACTTTGAAGGTACATT